ATTGTAGATAAATCATTATATTCCAGATACTTCATTGGTTCATTTCAGCTTTCATTGGCAAACACTTAATRATCAAAAATCAACCCTCCATATGGTCTCAATTTCTATGCAAGGTGAATCAAACCAGTGGAATTTTGTTTTTAAAAACAGCGTAACCCTATTCCAATATCCGTTCGACAATAGCCGTTCGCAGTTCTCCCGGACAACGTTTTTAGAAATAGCTGCATATGGTAATGAGGAATGGTTCCATACCTGCAACGACTCCCCGCCCAGCTCGATCGCAAATAAAGTGATTCCAAAACGAACAAGATCAGCGTGTTCGGAGTTAGTGCAACCAATTTCCAGATACAGGTTATGCTTAATGTCGTAGCATACTGAAAGTCTATCCTGCCATGTAATTGGTTCTTTATAGTAATAGCACCACATGCTGCGAATAAACACATGAATATTTCATGACTGTTACTTGAATTAAAGCTTTCTATGATGTCAGGCGATTGACCTTGTAAATCTGATACAGCACTAGTGTTGTGTAAGATTACAACACGGTCGTCACCATTGAGACAACCCAACGCTAGCAAGGGTCTCAGTTTTAATATCGCATCATAGATTTTTACTAGGTTTTAAAGCAAACAAAGACAGATAGCAGCACTCCCTTATGCAACAGATGGCTTGCTTTCCACGTGGGATAAATAGATATTGCAGAACATTTACCGGCAACAACAACAACAACAAAAAAAAAAACAATATTCAATCGTCAATCGTGTTTGTATTAATATGCATTTCAATGACTTAATCCAGAGCTTTTGAGCAAGTTAATTCCTCAATGTTAAACGCTTTTCAATCGCTTTAGTTGATTCGGCTAACAAAATTTCAGAAACAATTTTTTCGCAGACAATATCGATTTTAATATCATAATGACACGCAATAATCTTACCTAAAGTTGAAAAGTAAGCAATTATATATGGTCCTGACCCAACTGAAGTGTAACCTCGAATTTTGACTTCATAGTCGGTCGCTCGTGAGAGATCCTTTAGGATGACTGATGTATCATTTGTATTTATCTCTTTTTCATATCTGCCAGTTTCACGATTGAAGACCTCAACTCTGTATCCAAGAAGTTCACCACGGGCATCTTTTCTGGAGATTTCCTGCCATCCAATAACTGCTGTACTTTGTGTGATATCAGTGGAGTAAACTCCTTGAGGGCTACTGCTAGGATCTAAGAAACAAACCAAAACAGCAAATGCATGCAAATGGACAAAAAAGCCGCAAGAGGTTTAGTCCAGTCATCTTATTAGTTCAGGACAAACAGTTGGCAAAAGAAATTAGTTCACTGTCAGTTAAATTGTTGGGGGATTATTAACATACTAAAAATTAACAAAAATTGCTGCGTTGAAAAATAGTGAAACATAGTGTTTTGTTATGGTAATTTACCACAAGGTATCTACATAAAGAAACTCATGTGAGGGTTGCAAAAAGAGAAAAAGTAAATTTCTAATGATCTTTTTCCATCACCCAGACATAAAAAGAGGCTGAGTAATGTAATATACATTCACACACACAAACAAACTGTGGTGCAACATATCTGCATTGAGGAGTTTTGGTATCGGCGCTAGTTTGTCACAGCAGGTTACCCACAACAAGAAAAAATGCTTGGATTACTTGCTACAACAGCAAGGATATAAAGACTGTTACGGAACATTCTAAGGGCTAAAAAAAGGACTGCTGGATGCATTGTAGTCTTGCAACAGTTAAATAATTTGAATTGTTGCAGTTAATAGAAAAGCTTCAAGCTTATCATGACAGGACGAGCTTAGCCAAACCTCATTTCTAAAAATCCAGTCCCTTTAGTTCTAAACTGAGTTTTACTAATTTTATCTTGACTTGCACTATAAGTGTTAGGAAACCTTAGAGGCAAAATAATTGCCAGGTCTCCAAAGTTTTCTTCTTTTTCTTCTCTTAATTTCAGTTATTTTTTTCTCAATATGAATCGTTCAAATACAAAATGTGACAATTGTTTTCTTGTTAAATTATGTCTAAAAGGAAAATGTTGTGTTCAAAATTCACGGGTTTTTTTTGCATTTTCCTATTACGCGGTTACCCTGTGCTTCTTCTTGGAAATATTGATCTATTAATTCCACCCTAATGCCCAAGCTCACGAATTCTTGCGAATTTAACTAAAAAAATACAGCAAAAATAAACAAATCAGAACGAAACACAACAAAAACAAACAGAATGTCTTGGATAACGTCAATGGTAGGACTGACTCTCATAAAGTGATGCTAGATGGAACATCGGGGAGGTAAGGGAGGATGGGAATCAAAATGAAGGATAGCCAAGTAAGGCAGTGAGATTATGACGAAGGAGATAATACAAGGAAGAAAGAAGACAAGAAGAGGAAGCAAGAAGAAAAACATATTAATCACTAACAAACATTATAGTTATCACTAGCAAATGAATGGGAAATAACTGCTAATTGCTTAAAAATAAAAACTTACACGATTCATGAGTTGTTATTGACGTGTTTGACTTGTATGCTGTACAGGTATCTCCTGTTCTCACCATCATCAACACATACACGTCATACCGAGTGTACCCAATAAGCCCATTGCAAGTCAAAGAGGTTGAATTGCTTTCTCCAAAATTGTGAAATGTTTCGTTAGCCCACTTCTGTTTAGAATTGCAGGACATCAAAAACCCCAAAATATCATATTCTATAACATTACTATGTGTCCAGTTGGCAGAGATACTGTTGTAGTGGCTCGAAAATGATATGGTCCAATTCTTTAGGGTAGACTCTATAACAGACGGCAATGATCTTTTTATTATTATTATTTTGATACATATCAGATCTCAAATACAGCAGGAACTTAGAATATTCAAGTTGCTTAAATGGCGCAGTATTTTAAATGCACAAAAGCCACATGTTTCCCATTTGTAACGTGCAAACCTGAACCCCGAGTTGGATATATTTCCCCTTCCCTGTCTAACAACACAGACCTTCCAATTTCTCCTTTCTTTGATATAAAAACAGAAATACGTGTAAGGGTTTACTAAAGTGGTTTTCATTAACCCGTGAAACACACTTTAGTGTATTTATCGCTATTACACTTTGGCTCTTTTGTTTTTTATTGTTTCTACACGACTATTACAATCTATTACACTCCAATTATTACACTTTGTTTCACGGGTTTATGGAAGCCATTCTGAGCTTTTTTATCTATTTTTAAACATTAAAATGTTTATGTCCAATACAGATACCACTACTTTATTTTTTTCGATTAATTTGAATTAAGTGATAGTAAAGATAGATATTATACCTTGTTCTCTGCAGGAAAAGAACCTTACTCGCATTCCCCTTCCAACCTGCCTATTAATATATCGACGAGTTGAAACAGACGAATAATACTTAAGTTGGCCAGGTAAAGTGAACACTGTTGCAACTCCATGATACAAACGGTTGCGATACACTCTGCCGGATTCCTGAATGGAAACACTGCTGTAACTAAAGAAACAGCAAAAAGCATAAAATTAGGAAACAACTATTCGAAAGAAATAATAAAAAATAGCTGTTGCATTAAATATCTATAAGAAACTATAGGTTTTACTAATTTATACGAAATGGTATGGCAAAGTTACAATATGGCATGCTTTGGGGAAATGCTATCGTGTGGAATAGTCTCGCTGAGCTTTGGTATGCAAATTTACCCATATTTCGAATCCTGCCGTAAATCCAGTTCATCAAATTTTAGAACTACATGTGTACGAGTCAAGCTTTGCATGAATGTCCAGCGGTAATCAGCTTGCATCATGGATGATGGATATCCAGGGCTTGTAATAACACCAGTCATCTCAGTGATATTTTGATGGWAAACTGAAACAATTATGATATTACCTGTATTATAATCTTTCCCTCAACATTACAACCAGTCATTTTTGTTATCGTTATTATTGTTATTTAAACCAAATGAGAACCAAGGTTTCTCATTGAGCTTGTATCCACATGAAAATCTTGATTTTGAACTCAGACTGTTCTTTTGTGGCTCAAACTCACTTTTCTTACTTACTTGGTGGTCAAGACATTACAAAGTCATCTTTAATCTATATTTTAAAATCATTGCCATAACACTTTTAAGACTGCATGTTTTTGTTTTGTTATTTGGTTTGGTTTGGTATATTGTTGTTTTGTTTGGTTTTGTTTTTCTTTTTTGTAAACAAATTCCAAGAACACGTTAAAAAATAAGAAAGCTTCGAACCAGTGCAGGTACAGTTGTTGATTAAGTAATAAGCAAAAACATTGTTATTACCAAGTATACGTTGTAAACATAAACATAAAAGACATGTATATAATTTATATTTAGAAGATGAAAAAATATAAATTAAACATAAAATAGCTAATAGGTAACTAATGGTTACCTGATGGGTGTCCACATACCACTTCAGCTTGAGAAGAGCCATTTGATCGCTGACAAATTGAAGATGCAATAATCCTTGAACATTCTTCGAGACTTGTTTCCGTTCCATTACAAATATATGAAAGCACTAGGGTCGTGTCTACTGGGAGTGCTGACGCAAGAAGCAGTCCATGAGGCGTATTATGAGTAGGACTGGGTAGACCCAACGATCGACACACAACGTTAGCAGTATTGGTATTCCACCAAGGATAACCGCATATCTTATTCCATGAGCCTTTTTTGAATACTTCAACTCTTCCCTCGTTGGAAAATTGTCCACCCATTAACCTCAAGGTCTCTAAAAAAAGATAGATGGTGACCGATTAAAATTAATTTCGCTGAACTAGTCTCACTTGCTCTATTTTTACACAAAATTGTGTGTCTTGATCAGACTGCTTTTTTACAGAAGCGATTCTATATCGACATGCACATATGGGCATCAGTCAGTGGAATTCTGGCAGCCAATTACTTGAATCAGAAAGTGCATTTACCATTTTTCATTGCAAGAGATAATGTAGTGGCTTCAATGAAGGACCCGGTCGTATTCGTAGGATCAAAAGCAATAACTTTGAACCAGTATGAAGTAGCTGGTTTAAGGTATTCCACTGCTATGGATGTGTTATTTTTATGTTCAATGATGTACAGGAATGGCTCCCCTTTCGCAGTAGAGTTATACAACGGTACAACAATATAGCTCTTTGATGGCAGCGWCAAGGGATCCCAGTTAACAGTTACTTCACCAGGTTTGGGCTGTTTTAAAACTGGTTTCCACCTCTTTGTACTTAAACCTTTGAAAAGAGAACAGCAATGCAAGAMCAGCAAGAAATTGAAAATAGAATGAAATTTTAAGAAAAAAAAATAGGAAGTAGTTCGACAAGGGAATCGTCAATATATACTGTGTTTTCTAAGGAAAAAAAATATAATGATGGTGATGTCCGATGAAGCTAGGGTAGTTGAGCGGTAAGAGTGCTKGCCTGTCACCGGTTGGGATCATATGTGCCTTGAGTTTTATTCCGTTCTCTCCCTTGCTTCGAGGTTTTTTTCTCCGAGTTGTCCGGTTTTTCCTCTCAGGCTCAGCAAAAACGCAAAATTTCGATCCTAACTGTGCTCCGTGATCAGATATGGGTCAGTTGGTTGGCTGCTTTGTGTGTATGTGTGTTATGACAATGTGATTATTATTTTCGAAACGAATTTGGAGGATTGGCCAGTCTTCCTTATGCTTGATTTAAGTTATTTAGTTGTGACTGAACGGTACGACGAATCAAATTATAATTACTTTACAGTTTGTTTTTCGTTAAAATTCGTTGAACTCTAATTATTCCCGTGTCCAGGCCTACGGCACGGTTATAAAATGCAGCGCCTTTATTTTATTTTATTTTTTCACTTCGTAGTTTAGCAATCCCAGGGGACCCATAATCCAAAATTCCAAGGTTCGATCCTCGACTCGAGCACTTCTGAAAACTTTGTTCTTTTTTCTTCCTTTGATTTCTTTTAATGTATGTGTTCTAGTCATGTCAGATTTTTATCGTAGCCATTCGTTTTATTAATATTTACGAGCAGCGTTTGTTACATTTTAGATCGAACAGAAGATCGCGGGTTCGAATCTCGTCTCGAGCTCTTTTCTTTTTCTTTCTTTCATTTTAAGTATAGTAAAGTTGTTACAGTCATCTTGATTTTCTGTAGATTTTGTTTAATAATTATTTTCCATTATTTTAAACGCTTCCAACTCTGTTAAATTACTAATCCAAATACGCTCAAAATCAGCAACTAAGCTAATTTTAGTGTGTTCTTTCTTTTCCTCGTATTTGTTTTGATTGTTTCGAACAATATCAAGTTTGTGACTAGTCACTAGTCCCCTTTTTGAATTTCGGAATGGGCAATATGGCATAAGTTTTCCTTTTGACTTTATAGTCTACTAGATAA